AGCTAAGTTATAAATTTTATATTTGCATTAATCCTATATATAATTAATATAAGTAAAAGTTTGTCACTTAGCTAATTGATGTTACCTTCAGCATCCTGACTCTAGAGTTTCAAGTAGAAATGTCTATCCACTCTTCAGGAGGTATCAGCCTACACACGCACATACACAAGTGCCCACAAATGAATTCTAACAACAACTTTTTTTTTTTTTTTTTACAATCATATTAAGTTTATATTTCTATACAAAATTAAGAAACCTTTTCAAAATAAAATATCAATTTTTTTTTTATAACTTGTGCTTCTACAGGAGCAGCTTAAAAGCATTATTTGATGAACTGCAACTATAAAGTTTGTATTCATTATATTAAAAAATAAATAAATAAATAAAAAAATAAATATATCAATTGGTAATAAAAAATCTAATGATTCAGGTAAAGTTTACTATGCATGACCAACTGTCCAATTTGCAATAAACAGTGACAGGTAAATTGCATGGTTCCAATCATTGATCAAGTTCTCTTTACAATTCTTTACTATTGAATCTACTGTTACCTGATGAGATATGCTACCTATTAATTTTAAACTCATTATATTAGTTTCCTTCATTTTTCAACTACTTTTGGCAATTTTAACCATAACAATTTTTTAAGAGGGAAGTGCTGAAAAGACTTTGACCAAACCAAGAAGCCTTTTCCCATAAAATTCTGATGTCTGGTCAGAGAATTGAAAGTGAGTCAGGCCCCAATTTTTTCAGCCTCCCTCACATACTTTTTGTAATAAATCAACTTGAGATATGGAGTAGACAAAAAAAAAAAAAAAAAAAATGAACACAAGAAAGAGTAAGGAAAGGTAGATGAGTAAGTGGAAAAAAGATGTAATTTTTATCTAAATGACATTGTCTTGCATGATAATGGGGAAAGTAAAGTGTTTGTTGCAGCCATGTATATTGTATTAAATATATAAGTAGGTAAGATATAAATCATTATTTTAGAAATATTATACTAACATAAGTAAATATACTTTTTTTTTTTTTTATTTAGATGAAGCATTTCTCTTTTATAATTTAAGATTTATTCCATTTTATTGTTACTTTAAATGATATGCATGAACCTATTTATATAAATTCATGTTACATAGTGTTTAAATAATAAAAATGACCAATTGCGGTTTCAGATAAACATAAAAAAAAAGACAATGAAATTATTGGAAGAATGGTGCCTTTTCAGTTGTTTGTGCTAGTAAGCAGTTTTATTTTAATAAAGTCAATATTTTGGAATAGAGATTATTACAAAGAGGCTTGCTTCCCATAACTGAAATGTTATTTTCCAAAGAAACCCACACAGCAAAAATAACCAAAAAGTGGTTTCAGAAAAATTCCTTTAGTCTCATGGTCAAAATCTGAAACTGAAGCATATAAAAGAATATTTGGTAACACTAAACTTATCAGGAAAACTTTTCCCAACTGTTTGAAACTCATCATTGAATAGAAGATAAATTCTTTCTTCAAAAAAAGCTATCTACTATTTATCCACAAGGGTTAAATAAAGGAATCAAAAAGAAATGCAATCTCATTAACTTTATTAGCTTCTTTCCTTACAAACGATTTATTAAGACCATTGATTTATTAAGACCATTAAAACTTTAATATTTTGCAATTTTCAACTTGCTCTATATGAAGAGGTGCTGAAAAGTTTTTAGCTTAATCAAATTCTTGTGTATGTATAAATTTATAATCTATCAATAAACAAACTTTTTTTTTTTATATATACTTATGTCATTTACAGATCATGTTTAATTTAGCTTTTCTTATATGAAAACTAATGTATATACAAGGCGCTGAAAAGACTTCATTAAAAAAAAAAATAAATAAAAAATCTTTGGTCAGATTTGGGTAAGTGGGTCAAGTCATGAACTTTTCAGCATCTCTTCATAGATACTTTTTTTTGTAATATGCAGACAACTTTCTATTATGGTGTATATGAAAAAAAAAAAGAAAAAAAAAGACATTAAATACTTTCAGACATGGTATATATTTATTTAGTGTACTTATAAAAAAAAAATTTTAAAAAAATAGAAATAGCTACAAATGTATATTATAGTACATTATATCCATTTTACGGGAGTTCATGCTGATTTTTTTTATTAATATTCATAGTATTATATAAATATAGACAAAGTATTTATATTTATAATATGTATGCATGTGCATCTAAATATAGTCCAGCTGCTTTGCTCATAGCAAATCTGTTGACGTTTGTGCCTGACGTCATACAGACTGTTCTAAATCTACTTAGGTGTTCATGACCTTGACATCAACATACTCATCTATCTACTAGACGTGTGTGTGAGTTTGTGTGCACGCATATTTAAGATTATTTTTGCATAAATATTTACCTGCTAATAAGATGCACTTAGGAAAAATACAAATTGTGTTTGGACTTTAATTGTAATTGATTTACTTAGTGAATAATGTGCTAATAAGGCAGGTAAAAAGACTATAATATAATGAGGAAATGTGCTTAAATCATTTTTTAGTAACCCAAAAATGCCATTGTAAAATAGGTTCAGTTTACCAATACATGCATTTTATACCGATATATACAATGACTGCAAAAATATGTACAATACATGTACAAAGAATATGATTAAAAAATGGTCTTAAATAAAAATGTGTTTATATATAATGTGAAATTAAATCATAAGCAATGAAATTCTATATATATTTAGTAATACAAATATAAACAAATAAGTTATACAAAATAAGTTAGTTGGTTTAACTTCAGGATTTGTTTTTCAAGAAATATGTAAAATCTTAATAATAATAATAACTATACTTATCCTACTGACTATTTCTAAGTTAAAAAGCAATTTATAAAATAAAAGTTAAAGTTTTCACCAATTACTAAAATTTGTCCATAAACCACAACAGCATTATTAAGGGTAATGAATACAGCCACCTTATAGATTCCACTATTAAATACACACACACACCCTTAACTAAAAAAGAAACAATAGAGGTAAATATCTGTTGAGAGAATTAATACAACAAATGAATTAAAGATTCAGATTAAATGATGAAGTGACTATTTAAAATTTTATACTTGCATATAAGTTATATTGGGTGGCCCAAAATGTTTGTTCAGTTTATCAAATAAAAATCAAAGACATTTTTTATACATTAAATTTTATTTTTTTCAGCAAAGAATGTTCTATATTGTTTGTATAGCTTTCCATGAAATTTAAACTTTTTCATGAGAATTCTGTAAAAACTTGTAGTAATCTAAAGGTAAGAGGAATAAGAGGTAATCTAAAGTTAAATACAACAGATAAGCAAGAACTTTCATGCTAAACTGGGACACTTTTTGCCTGATCACAAAAAAAATAAAGAGTATGTAGCAAAGTGTTATTCAAACGGAATATTACTATGTTTTTATCTTAAATGAAATATAATTCCAAAATCAATCATTTAGATCTCTAAAAATTCATTGTAGATTTCTTTCCAATCCTACCATATATAAACAGCACCACATTCCTTGAGTGAAGACGAGTGTTTGGCATGGTTAGTTGTAGTTTATTTTACTTGCCCCCACACACAATCTCATACATTTTACATTGCTGTAAAGTAGCCACTTTTCATTGCCCGTTCCAATTGTTTAAAAAAAATAAAAAAATAAAAAAAAAAATAAATAAAAATAAATAAAAATGTGGTATTTCCCGCCAACACTTATATTAAGTTACACATCAAAATTAAATTATTTTTAGCTTTTGATTTGAATATTTTAAATACATTCTCAATCTCCTGTATTGTATAACTATACATTTCAGTAATGTCTATAATGTATATATATAACTTCTTTTTTTTTGCACAAATTTAAAATCTTATATTACATGCACACAGAAGTAAAATATATGCAAATACTTTTTGCTTAGCTTAAATGTTTTTAAAGGTAAAAGGACTAAGAGGATAAATGCATGCAAACATTCTATACAGTACATGTGCATATAGTATTTGTTAATTATACAATATGTTCACCTATATTTAACAGATCTTTCATATACAAATCCGGTTTACCTACTTTTTAACTTATTTTCACTACTCTTAAGGATTTTCTTTAAGCCATTCTAGACAGACTAGCTAAACGTGTATGCTTACAATCAAATCTAACAATACCAGTTTGGCCATATAAAAGTATATGCTATTGAATCAGCTTGTGCATGGCTGCTTTCATGTAGTGATAAAATGGGCTTTAAAATTTGTGGTTAAAAAAAAAAAAAAAAAAAAAAAAAAAATGATAACCAGACCTGAATGAAGATCTTGCAGGTCATTCTTGGTAAGAATTTTAAAGTGAGAGAAATAAACAAGCTTTTCTTTAACAGCATCTATAATAGGCCATATATGCCTGTACTGTTGGCAATATATACAGGCATATCTACAATATCTCTTGCATGATTTGATAATTTCTGATTGCACTCAGTTTTCATGAAAACAAGCAAAACCAGATATTTGAGCAAGGGAATAATCCTACCAGAATACATAATATAGAGCACCAGTCCCCAACCAAATTTACTGCTGACTGGCACTGGACTGTGGACCAGAAAGAATAAAACTTCCCCCTCCATTTTATTGATTATCGCAGCCTTATTTATTGTGTTTCGTTATGCATGCAGCAGACACCAACCCAACCTGGTCCATGTAAAAGTTGTCTTGCATGACACCCAGTACATGGCACAAAAATGAATGTTAGTATTTATTTATGTATTTATTTATGTATTTATGTATTTAGTTATTTATTTAGTTATTTATTGTATTCGTGATATAGAGTAATGAACTTGTGTAGGTATCTCTCAAATTGAATAGAAATTTGTGTTACCATAATTATTAGTAAAATTTCTGTTTGGAAAGGTTTTTAAAAAATTTCTTACACTCATCTAGTATGGTTGCATTTATATTGTGAATAAGGTCATATTGTATTTCTATTTACACGTAACTTTATTACTTACCTTGTATAGTTCTCTTAAAAAAGGCTTTACATGCCTCACATGATGACACCCCATAATGATATCCAGATGCAACATCGCCACAAACTAAACAAATCTTCTTGCTTCCATCTGGATTCTCCTGGTCAGAGATCATAGCAGTTGTGCTAAAGTCTGGTTTAACATCATTGCTGCATGGAGATATATTATCACCACTGTCACCCTGGTAAGAGCGGTCTGATCCATAATCATCATGACCACTGTAGTCAGAAAAAACATCACGTCGAAAGTTGTCATCAAGAACTTGGACAGTGCAACGTCCCAGGCCCAAAGGGCTGTTTGGTTCACACTTTACCAGCTCTGTCTCCATCCTAATTAGATAAAGAAAAAATAATTTACACAAGTATATAAACCTTCCAAAAAGAAACATTGAGGATACATCATTCAATATTTACATATAAAACCAAGTGAGATCTAATTGATAAAAATCAACGATGACTTTGCATAGAATATAATAAAATCTAATTTAAGAAACAGCTGGTTCTCAAAATGAAATATTAAAATTCTATTTATTCTAACACCAAAAGGTATTAGAAGATATAAAATTAAATCAAGATTTAAACACATTCATTCAAATGACAAATCTTAATTTATGCTTCAGAAGTGATACTGCAAACATAGTTATAAAAAGGTTTCATTCTTCTGAAACACTTCATGTTTGTGGGGAAAATAAAAATAAGATAAATCTCATTTTCATGAGATAAAAATTCCTATTTCCGAGCATTCATACATTAAGCCTTGTAGTAACCTTAAAGATAGTAGCAGAAGCAACTCTAAAATAAAACTAATCAGCAGCAGCTCTTGAATATAAAAACATGTGAACCATAAAGTAATTCTCTCTCTTACAGGTTTTTCCTCTTTTGAACTGGTGTCATGCACTTTCCACACTGAAGCTAAAAGGGTTGTGAATACTACACTCATAAAACAAACCAAATACAGTTTCCACTATACATATTGATTCACATTCTGTGGTGTATACAATTTAATTCTAACAAAACTTTTGTTTTAAACTTTCCTTTTGTTAATTTGTCTAATAATCATTATCTTGCATTGCAAATGAATTGGTCTGTTATTTTATGCATGTACTCTTTTCACAACCACTATTTTATGTACTATAAAATATTCCTGTAAGAAACCTTATAGATTTAATTATTGAAATAGCTAATCACTAAAACCCCATCTCAAAAATATAGACAAAATCTGTTTTTATTTTCAAAATTATTTGGCTCATTTTTCTACGTTACTAAACAATATTATCGAGTTAAAACTTTAGATATAAAAAAATATTTTTCAAATGTTAAATAATTATGATTATAGTAAGTAAATAAGTAATTATAATCACTATTGAAAAAAGTTATTGATTGGTTTTTGTTTACAGATTAATCCTTTGGGTGTTAATTAAAGACAAAATATTTTTTGATTGTAAGAATATTTTTTTTTTTGTCAATGAATATTTCATGAACAATTTTCTTGAGAACAATGATTTTTCCAGATAGAAGCCCTACTATTTAACCCATAGCTGGGGGAGTAGATGGATCCATACCTTTCCCAGGGGTATTTGTGTGTAAGTGATAATGATAAACCCGACCAGAATTTGAACTCTACCCTATGGTTTCTCATTCCAAGTCGCCATTCAATACACTACCCACACATCCACATGAAAAACAGGTAAGTTATAAGAAAAAAGAAAGGTACAGCAATAATGTTCATTTATAATGTAATTTAACTATGTAAAGAAAAACGAGCCATTAATTTTAATACAATAAAAATTTATCGATTAAAAAGTCACTATGAAATGTAAATGCAACAGTACATTTATGCTTATGCTGTTTCAATACATGCTAGATTAAAATTATAAAGGGGGGGAGTAAATTTTTAAGTTAAAGGAAAGCAAAATGCAATTCAAAGCCATTATCTCTTATGTCAGTTCTCGACAAGTCTGTTAATGTCAGTTCTCGACAAGTCTGTTAATGTCAGTTCTCGACAAGTCTGTTAATGTCAGTTCTCGACAAGTCTGTTAATGTCAGTTCTCGACAAGTCTGTTAATGTCAGTTCTCGACAAGTCTGTTAATGTCAGTTCTCGACAAGTCTGTTAATGTCAGTTCTCGACAAGTCTGTTAATAAGTCTGTGTCAATCTGTTAATGTCAGTTCTCGACAAGTCTGTTAATGTCAATGTCAGTTCTCGAGTCTCTGTTAATGTCAATGTTCTCTCGACAAGTCTGTTAATGTCAGTTCTCAAGTCTGTTAATGTCAAGTCTGTTAATGTCAGTTCTCGACAAGTCTGTTAATGTCAGTTCTCGACAAGTGTTAATGTCAGTTCTCGACAAGTCTGTTAATGTCAGTTCTCGACAAGTCTGTTAATGTCAGTTCTCGACAAGTCTGTTAATGTCAGTTCTCGACAAGTCTGTTAATGTCAGTTCTCGACAAGTCTGTTAATGTCAGTTCTCGACAAGTCTGTTAATGTCAGTTCTCGACAAGTCTGTTAATGTCAGTTCAAGTCTGTTAATGTTCTAGTTCTTCGACAAGTCTGTTAATGTCAGTTCTCGACAAGTCTGTTAATGTCAGTTCTCGACAAGTCTGTTAATGTCAGTTCAAGTCTGTTAATGTCAGTTCTTTGAAATTATTTTCAGTTCTCGATCTATTTGCAAATTATTTTGGTAAAATTACAATTGTTTTCAAATTCAAATGTAAAATTAAGAAACTCCTTCCATAATTTTCAATGCAACAATTTCACAAAATTTAAATTTGAAACAAATTAAGAGTTCTCAAAAATAATTTTTATCACTAAGATTTAAAGTATTAACAAATAGATTCTGGTAATCGACTGTCTTTGAAATGTCTAAATACATTACACAAAAACAATTGTTGCTTTTGTGTATAATATCTGAGATTCAAAATGTCCAAAATGAAAAGGAATACCATATTAAAAATGACAATTTTAGTGAATTCTTCTCTTACGCAAGAAAAATAATAGCCATAAATGCTTAATTATTTTTTGCTTTCATAACCTGATATTTTTATGATTGTAATAGATAATTGCTATAAAAGTTAGCATTTATGAACAAGACTGTAAATATTGCATGGTTTTAATGTGATTGTATTAAACATTCAATTATGTAAATGCTTAAAATTAAAAAAGAGAAAATCAGAAAAAGCTCTCCTTAATTGCTAAATACAGCATTTATTTTACTCTTGAAAACAATGTAAATGACACTAGTGGATAATGTGAATTTAAAAATATCAATCTATCTTTTACAGAAGTTAAAGAACTGAATATAATGAGTAAATTATAAAGAATGTAAACTTGTTAAAGTAAAAATAATATAATAAAAATGACTATGACGACTTTCATATCAGAAATATAAACAAGTCTTGGGAGAAATGTTTGTTTTCTTATGATCTATTAATGAATAACAGAAACAAAAAATATTATTAAGACTAAGATGGAAATGAATAAGAACACCACATCATCATCATAATAATAATAATATGTGAATTCTTAACTATCATTTAAATAATACAAAATGGAAAAAAAGTATTAAAATGAGAAAAAGATCAATTTTGAACCCCTTTTAATAGCTTTGTTTTTGTTTTAAATACCAAGCTAATGAGTAGACAGTCATAGTAGCATTCTTAGTTACTTTATCCCAATATGCAAATGTATGTGTGAGCAGGTAGAGGGTATAAATGTTTGATTTAAAGAACCATATCTATCCAAAAATATACAAGTTTCACAAATGATGCCTTGTTATGACCAGATTCAACATCAATGTGGCAAGCATCCATATATATATATATATATATATATATATATATATATATATATATACACACACTAAAAAGAAGAGAGAAAGTGCCAACTTTTTTGGTTATAATGTGGATTTTAAAAAAAAAAATATATGCTTTATTTTTCATAATTTTGCAACACATGTTTCAGGTCTCACAACCTTCTTCAAGCAAACAGTGGATATTTCCACATATTAAAATGAATTTTCCTTATGTTTTTTGATGTTAAACATTCTTTTTTGCGTGTTAGCGACACGTCTTTTTTGGATTGGCAGTGAGAAAGTTCTTTTGCTTGAATGGTAATAAAACAATTAAGATTTGGTCTGAGAAAGGGGGAGGAAAGATCATTGTATTCTTATCTTTTAATGAATCTCTGTGTGTTCTTAGATCTACTTCCATTTTTTTGTATTGTGTGCATTACTGTCAGCATGTGTATGTATACATATATTTCCTCCCCACACATAATGTCTTATTATAAGAAATTAGCATAAATATACACACACACGCACATATATATATATATATAGTTTTTTTTTTTATAAGGAACTAGTATACACAGATACACACACATACTTTCTATGTTGTGTAGGGTTTGTGTGCGTGTGCACTTGTGAGTAGTCTATTGTTTTTGCCAATGTGTGTATACATATTCATGCTCCACAGATATCCATGTGTGAGTGTGTGCAGGGCTATGATTTATTTAGTGCTTGTTTAAATTTGTTTATGAAGTTTTTTTTTTTCTTGTATTTGTAGGTAAGAATAATTGTCTGTTTGAGATATATATATATATTGACAATTTTAAATTCACCCTGGTTACATTTATAGATGTGTTGTGATACATAGAGTTTTCTTTTGTCTGGTAATTTTATGTTGCTTTTGTGGAGGGAAACTTATTTAGTTGTTGACTGATACCTATATATGACTGTTTGCATTTTGTGCATAAATCATTTTTAGAGTTGCAGTTTCAATTTTAAATTAGATATTAAGAATAATTAAAATAGTTCTTAATTTCATTTTTAAAATGTGTATATTTCCAGATATGTGTGTCACTAGTGTAAAATTATTTGTTTTGTAAAATTATGTTCCTTTAGAGAATACACCTAAAATTAGATATTTAAAAAAATAAATTAAGTTATATCTCAGTTTTAAAATGTGTACATTTTCAAATCTGTAAGTCATTTTTTTTTTAAACCCAAAGTAAAAATTATTCTTTTTTTTAGCCACTAGTGTTCAGTGGGTGTTCTGCCTATAAAATTCTTCTAAACAAGGAAAATTAATTCATTTTATTTTTACAAATATCTTTGTGGTTTTATCTGGTGAGTACACTTAAGTAAGATTAATTAAAATGATTAAAATAGTTTTTAATTTCAGTTTTAAACTGTATTTAAAAAAGGATAGGTGATACTCGCAGATTTGGAAATCTATACATTCTAAAAATGAAATTAAAAGCTTTTAATTATTTTTTAATATTTAATTTTAGGTGTATTCGCTAGATAAAAAGAAATTTATTTAGGGGGGAAAAAA